GTCAAAATAGGGACTTCGTTAAAGTCTCAGTAAGGCTCACAGTTCGAAAGTAATAGTGGTCGATCGACCACTCTGAAACCCTTTGCGTTTTAAGAAAGTTGCTCTGATAGCGACAAATTTTTTCCCTGCCTTTGGTAATCACTGGCTAACATCCTTTATCTGTGAGCTTTGCTAACCATCATCGTTTACCATGCTTGTCACCGAACATTAAGAAGTCGTTGGTTTACTTCGCCGATTTGGCAGATTCTGTGAACGATCTTTGAGTTTATAGGCAGGTTTCTACGTAAGGTTGTAAGAGTTTCAGAACACGAATCGTCCATAGCTAGTGTTGGGGAGTTAGAGGAAAGATAGCTTTCGCAAACTCGCTGAGCTAAGAGTACTAGGCCCGGATTTTTGGATCACAATAGCTTCTTTTTTTTTTTATATGCACCACTACCTTGCTGCAACAACGTGTACTAACTTCAACTACAACTTCAACTACTATCATCAAAAAGCTAGTGTTCAACGTAATTTTTTATTGTAACCTAACACCTGCTGAGATGCCTGTTTTTTGTTTTTTGTTTTGTTTTGTTTTTGTTTGTTTGTTTTTTTGTTTGTTTTTTTCAACTTAACAACATACATTCGTTAAAATTTTGATGGTGAATTGGTGTAACTCCAAAGAATCTACCCGACATACATTATACTCATTGCTTACCTGAAAAAAAAAACAAAGACAGCCCAAATGTCGACATAATTAAAGAACTGAAAAAGTACCCTGGGTACGATATTCTGTGACCCTCCGTTAAACTGTACCCTTGTGAATTATAGGATTACTCCTTAATCTTTCTCTCTCTCTATTCTCTCCCCCTATCTCCCTCCCCCTCTCTATCTCTCCCCCCTCCCTCCCTCTCCCTCCTCCTCCCCCTCTCTGTCTTCCACCCTTCCCCTCTCTCCCTCCCCCTCCTTCTCTCTCTCTCTCTATGCCTCTCTCTCCCTCACTCACACAAACTGATCGAGGAGGCAAAAAATGAAAACAGCAATTGCCATAAGATTTGCAACCGCACAACATGTACCAAGTCGCCAGCTTGGGGTTTCTCTTTACTGATACATAGCTTCTATGTCCTCTACTAAAAGTAAGCTTTTTTCTTTAAGTATCCTCTTAGACTTATGCTACTGTAGACGAAATTTATCTAAACGTTTTTTAAACGTTCCCTCTGAATAAAACAGTACAGGCAAAATTGCAGAGTTGTAGAAAACCTATTGTTCCTTTCTTTTTCTACAACGAACTACTGTATTTCATCATTTAATGATTTCCACTGTCTTGCCTTTCCTTCAAATCCCTCCCTGAAGCAGGAAAGTATGATGACGACGCGAGATAATATAAAAAGGGCTAAAAGCAAAAAACAAACACAAAAATAGACATTTAACAACGGTATTTTTTTTTTGGCACCCTCAGATTGAACTGAAGCATACCTAAGCATGCCTAAAGATCTTCCAAGAGAAGGGGAGAACTCGAATAGGTGGTTTCATGAGGCACTTGAGAGGGTACTGGAGCATATATTTGAGCTGTTCCTGATGCGTTAGGCAGTTTCTGCATATTTTCTGCGGGTACCATCATTACAGCAACTGGAATGGTTCTTAACTGGCCCATGTATCCTTGGGACGCCATCACAGCTGGGGAGAGAGCTTGTGGTGCAGCTTGTGGTATTAACTGGTGGGTTTGTGCGCCGGTTGGGGCCTGGACAACTCAATTCCTTGAGAATAAAGGGAAAAATGTATAAATGACTTTGAACGAATTTATATCACTGTAATTTGAGACAGCCTCCTAACTCTTACATCTTTTTTTTGCGCTTTGTACCTGAGATATCTACATTTTTTGGTCTTTACCTCTCGGTGAACAGTCAAATCCTCTATTGGGTAGTCTCATAGCAGTTTTTTAAGTGATGATCGAAAGAAATCTAGGATTGCATCGATTTCGTTTCACTTTGATCTTTGATTGCTCCAGAAAACTGATGCTAGCCAGAAAAACTGAGATCAGCTGCTCTTCGTCACCAGCGTAGTTATATAGTACGTTAGGCAGTTTGTTTGTTCTTGTACTGATTTCCCAAGAGCTCCTTGTGGCACAGCGATAGGTATCATTTGCTTTGATTGGTGCTGAGAATTCTTTCAATTTTGCTTGACTCGAAACTGAAAGCATTCTAGACGGTTTACACCCGAAGTTTCTCGTGAGAGGGTAATAGAAGGTGTGATGTGCCTTAGTAGATTGTTATACATAAAAGGGATTTACTACATTAGGGCTGGGATTTTAACATTTTGGAGAACAAATGACTCAGTTTCCAAACTGAGAAAATAATCTCTTTTAGCGATCTTTTACTCTATCATTTGTCATAATTGGCTGCTGCAACGATCTAATGTGTTGTAAGATTATGAGGTTAGCCAGCTTTTTCCCATCTTAACTCTTGCCAGCATAACGCAGATTTTTGACGAGCCATATCCAAGCTCTACTAATGCAGTTAATAGGCATAACATATAAATAAAGGCTGATAGTTTCGAAAGAAACTGTTTGGGGCTGCGTCGGTGGGGGTAACGAAATAATTTGGATATATCAACAAAGTTGAAATAGTAAATTGGCCACCGTAACGATTACAAAAGCTGACGTTTCGAGCGTTAGCCCTTCGTCGGAGCGAATAGAGGAATTGTGGGTTCTGTGTGCTTTTAAAGGCAGAAAATGGAGCTACGTTATTGGTGGGAACATGGCAACGAGAAAAACAGCTTA